GAAAGACAATAAGCAGAATTATCTCGGAAGAATTTGACAGTCTACACTTTTTGTAGATAATTAGATTATATAGAGTTAATGATTAAAAGAATCATCTTTGTTCTAAAAACTGATAGCTAGAACAGTTTTTTCAGGACATTGGTAATATTTTCCCCATAGCTACTAACTAACATGTCATCCAACAGCATACTGGTTTAGGAACTCTTATTTCGAAATGGATAATCAGGAGGATTAACAGGAAATGATTGATAAAATTGCTTCCACTAATATGACCTTAAATAAATGTCTTCATTTTTAAACTGATTTAATTGCAAAACAGTTTTAATACACAAACTGTTGTATTAGCTCCTTTTAATGTTTTAAGCAATTATGACATGGCAAACTATTTTAAAGAACAAGTATTTTGTGATATCTGTCACGTTAAAATAAAATTACTTCAGACACTCTCTTCTCTTTCCTGCTAATCCTTTTGGAAATGATCCAGAATACTGAAAGAGAAAGCATGTGACAACACCTGACAAGGAGTTTACAGACTCCATATTCCACTAAATAAAGTATACTGCATGGCAATGAGTTATTTACCATTCCAAATGCATTTCAAGTAGCATTTCAATAGTTCCATAGAATACTGATATTAATACCAGATTGAGACAGAATGAGACAAATTGTTGCACATGCACTGAGATGTATTTCGGTATTCTTGAATTAAATGAAAGTTTAAAGCAATCCAATAAATGAAGAGATGGCCTCTTGTTGCATACCACTTGCTTTGATTACTTTTCTCACTATATTTATATATTATATAAATCTTTTCTTGCTGCTGGCTAACAAATGAAAAAAGGCAATCAATGTCATAATTTTGTTGCATTAAACCACAAGTAAATAAACCCAATAGGAAACACAATTGAAATTTGGATACAGTAAGATTTAGTATTACCCTATATAAGAAAAGGAAAGACAGAAGTTCCTAGACAAGAATTCTGTGGTAATTGCCAAGATAAGAGGTAGCAAGCAGATTATATTAGGAGTGGACATGCTGGTTTAACACATTGGGGAATTCTAAAAGCATTTTATATATATATATATATATATATATATATATATATATATATATTCCTTTCTGTGTCATATAGAGAACAAACTATAATTCTAAAATTAATATTCAGGTTAATATTTCATGAATTAGTATTGAAAAATAAGAATACTGAGCTTGGTGGATTTTTACATTTTTAGAAGAGAGAATTACATTTAAAATCTAGGTTATCTGAGAATGGTAACCAGCATTAACTACAATTAAGCTGAGAGAAATGGGTCTCCTAATTACATTTAAAATAAGGAACTTGATTCCAAAAGTAAACAAGAGTATTAGCGTCTATTCCATATTTCAAAATTTTAGTCATAGTTTATGGGATTCAGTGATATATCTTCATCAATCTCCTATAAAAGCTGTTTTTTTAACTTGCAATATAAATGTTAAAGTAATAACTAATCATTTTAAAGCAATCTACTATTTGGAGAAATATTTACCGGCATACAAACAGTTAACAATACATGTTGCTCGGAAGAAAGATAGATATAGACATTAGTACAGAAATACACATTTGTTCATAATCAATAGTTGAATTCACTTTGAAAAGGAAACATATCAGATGTCAATCCCAAATTAGCAGTATTTTTATATAACTTCAAGTTCATAAAAAAGTTAAAATAATTAATGTTTTTACTATATCTATTTACTAAGCAAATGCAAATAAGCTGTGACCATTTGTTTTATTCACATTAAGTCAATTTTGTTCACCATAGGAACAAATATATCACAGTGGCTTGATTCAGAGAATACAGTGAGCCACAAGCTACTAAATCAACATAATGGCTATGTAATAGAGAAGTCAAAACTCTCTTCCACCCAGCTGTCACCTTCATAAATCCCTCCCCTTCCTGCTGTAAGCATCAATTTAATGCTGTTGTACTTCAAATTTTGAAGTGTCCTGACTTTCTGCCACCTTAAGTTAGTCGGATCCACTTCCAGTGAGAAATTGGGGAACTGCTAAAATGGGTGGCTAGCCACCATTATTTTCATGGGAATGGAAGTGTAAATGAGAAAGACAAGGAGATGGTGGCAAAGCAAATAGCCTTGGCAACGAAAAAGCACCAGGCTTTCAGTTACAGAAGAACTGCTGCAAAATTACTGAGACAGAAATACAGGTGGTGGTGCCCATCTCAATTCATATAGAACAAGTGTTAAGCAGTGACTGGATGTATGAATATTCTACTATAGAGAATAGTCAATATAATCCTGAATGAAATTGTCAAATTTAAAATCAAAGTATTTTAATATGGAAATATAAAGAACTACAAGTTTAAGCACAAATGTAAATGATCACAAATTATTCCTGTGATGCTTCATAGAATTAATGGACTTTTAAAAGTATTTGTGGAGGAGAAGTAAAGCTTGAAATTATGCCAAGGACAGAAAGATTTGAGAACAAACTAGGAGAGGGGAATGATGCAGACATTGCCAAACTAAATAAAAGCTGTGAAAATAAAGGGTGCATTTTATACTCTGAAAAGCCATGATACAAAGAAACAAAAGCTATAATAATTAGCTACTTTATTATGTCTCATCAAAACAAGTGTGTTCCTTTTTTTAAAAAGTGGTTGTTATTCATGTGTAAATGATTGGAAAATGTATGCACATATTTTTTTAATAATTGCATAGACATTCCCTCTTGTCTAAACATATACACCCATTATGCAACTCTTTCATGCTAAGCAACTTTATGCAAAGTGTAGAAAAAGTATAAACCAGTATAAATATGTTTAAACCATGTGCAAATATATGTGAACTGAATCTGATTATGAAGCATCTAACATAGAAACAAGATTCAGCTCTTGCTCAGAGCACAATATAGATTGTTAATGCTCTTTATTTTTAGAACATACAAAAGCAGTATTAAAGTTATTCTGCTACTATACTAAGAAGGACATTTGATTGCTCTTGCATATAATCACACCATCCTCTTCAGGGATGTGTTGTACAAACCTCGTCTGAATCCATTCTATTAAAAAGGAGTTGCTCATTTAAATTTCCCTGATTTTTGTTTAAATAAAGATAACTTTTAAAATAAGAGAAAACACGAATGAATATTTTTCACCTTTATTTTTAGAGTGGAATGGGAAGACTATGACTTTTCTTCATCCAATGCTGCAAGTTTAATCTCATTTGAATTTTTTTTTTTGAAAGAAACACTTTACAAAGCCTTTTACATTTTACCCACCCTTCTTCACATCTTATTTGAAATAACTGCAAAAGCTTTTTACACCATTTTTACGCATCCCATTTCTTCTTTCCATGTCTAAATATAGACTTTCTGTATAAGTACAGCCAAAGTATCTTTTAACATGTATAAAAATTTCCATAAAATAACAAGAACCAGACTAGAAATCAGGAGACTGTGACTTCAAGTCTCACCTTAATTATGAAAGCCAGCTGGGTGGCTTTGTGCCAGTCACACTATCTCAGCCCAACCCACCTAACTAACAATGTTGTAAAAAATAAGGCAAGAAACATATAAAATAAAATAACCTCAACTCTACCACACTTTTAAAAAACCAATAAAATAATATACAACCAAATAGGTGCGGTCACTAAATATATATTATGTTCATGCTACAACAATTTTGGCTGGGGTGAGTTTGTAAACAGTTTGACTATAGTTCAACAGATTTTGGGAATTGCTTGTTTTATGCTTCCAGAAAAGGCCCACAGAGAATGTTGACAAGTGTGAGTGCCTAAACTCTTCACAGAATTGTTGTTAGATGGTTAGGCTCTTTTCAACAGTAAATCTAATCAAATTATCTCAAGAATGTATTCTTGCTCTCTAACAATTGTAAAGCTTTAACATTAAGTAACAGGTAATGAAGTTAAAGCACAATGAACAGAAAATATATTGGCTTCATGATTAAATCTTTATTTAATATGGGAATAAACAAACAGGAACACAACCAGCCCCCAGTGCCTCTTCTCAGCTTACATTTTCTAAAAGGTTAGCACTTCACCAAGGGCGTTTTGGCCCTTTTTTGTGTGTGCGCTCGCTGCTTTTTAGCCTTTTACAGTATTCTACCACTGACCTCCAGACACAACCCATCAAAACAACATATCTTCAAATCCTAAGGATGCCAGCTACTCTCGGAAATGTTTTAAATCTGGCAATCGGCAGCAAATCCTCCGCTAAATCACCAGGAAAGCTTGACTGGAATCACAGAGATATCCATAGTTGGAAAGACTTTTTTCAGCAGGAGGCATCATCACCAGTTCACAAACCTCCCAACATCAAGCCGAGGCAGGAGGTGGAAACGAGGAGGAGGAGGAGGGAGAAGTAGGACTGCTGGGTTGAGAAGTGGGGGCGGGAAAGGAGAGGGGGGAAAGCCTTTTAAACGAGGGCTTGGGGCCGGGCCTAGTTAAGGATTCGCTTACCTGCTTCTTCCCATAGTTGCTGACTCCCCTTCCCCCACCCCACCAAAAAGAGAGGAAGGCTCGGGAAGTCCTGAGAAACTGATGGCGCGGATTCCTAACCGCCTGGCGGCATTCCTCTGCTCGGGGCTGCTTCGCCGAGCAACGCGTAGCCAAGGATTCCTCTCCCCCCCCCGCCGCCGCCCCACATCCCAACCCCCAATGTACACACATCCTCCTTCGTCTTCCCTTCCCCGAGCGCCTATCCTCTCCCCGCCCTCCCCACCTCGCTTCCCCATTCACGGCAGCCTGGCCCACGCCTGGCTGCTCCCAACCGCAGTGTGCCTGCCCCGCCGCCGCAGCCCCGTCCGGCTGGCTTCGCCTCAGCCCCGCGTCCCGCCTGGACGCCCCCCCCCCCCCCCCCCC